TTAATAAAAAGCCAGAAGCCTTTCTCCTGGGTATGGTAGGCCAAATGGTGCCAAAGAAGGATAGGACATTTTTTATGTATGCTACAACAGCAGCAAGAATCCTTCTAGCAAAGTATTGGAAGACACAAGATCTACCCACGTTGGAAGAATGGCAGACGAAGGTGATCGATTATATGGGACTGGCAGAGATGACTGGCAGAATCCGAGACCGGGGGAAAGAGGCGGTGGATGAAGACTGGAACAAATTTAAAATTTATCTTAAAAACTGTTGTAATTTGGAAAATTAGAAGACCAGGGTAATAAGAGATAAAGAACTACAGTTGTTTTATTATTTTATGGAAGATATATTTATGAAATAGAAATAAGTTTAATACGAAAGGGTTGCTGGAGAATCTTGAAATATGAATGCAGAAAAGGGGTGGTATGGGGAAGTCGTTTTTGGTGTTTGCTTATGTTTTCTACTATGTTTTCTCTTTTATTTATGGAAAACTAATAAAAACTTATTTAAAAAAAAAAAAAGAACCAATGGAGAATAATATGCAGCTGGGTCCTTCTTGAATCTCAGAAGACACTGCTAAGAAATAGCAATGACAACTATGTCCTTGGAACTAGAACCCAATGCTTGCATTTTATAGGGATAGGCTTTGGTGACTGGTCTGACATAAATGAACCACCTACTGGAAGAAACCCAATAATTCCAAGGCAGAATCTAGTTCATTTGTCACTTGTCACTTCTGCAAGAATGTATTTGAAAACCATGCTAAGGGTCCATAACTCAGATCCTTGTGAATTAAAGTTCAGAGAACAGCTACACCATATCTGGGACATGATGTGATCCACTCCCGTCTTTTCTGCTGTACAAATTTCTCCCTCCAAAGGCATTTTTGACAGCTTAATGGAACAGAACTAACGAGGTGTGCCCAACAACCTCATGCCATTCCCTCATTAAATTAGTCAATTTTCAACTATTCCTCCAATTGACCCTTCACACTTTTAATAATTTCCTTGTATAAGTAATGGCAGCTCCTCTGTAGCCTTTCTCTTTATTTTGTCTCTAAGCCTTCAAAAACAATCAGTTATCCTGGCAAAATCCAGAGCCTCCTGAATTGAGTGAACTTGTGAAAATATCTGTGAAAATGTCTCCTATTTCAATTTTCTACTTCCTTCCACTCTCCTTTTTATGTTTTCTCTGGCCCGAGCACCACGCCAAATTTACAAGCAAGCTATTTCTCCTGCTATCCACATTCTTCATCTCACGCCCTTGTGAGCCAATTCAAATGTTCAGCAAAAGCACATGGTACAATCTTCCTGGGACTCTGCCACTTCAGAATGTAGGTAGGGAATAGAATCTTAACATGCTTTGAAGATTTATCACTTAGTCTCTTCCAGTTACAGGGAACATTCAGGTAGCTCATTGACCTGCATCAACTGATAAACGATTGAAAAGGGCTGAAGTGAATGGTGCCAATATAGAAATGAGTGTTCTGTACAAACAGTGGTGTGCACGCTTAATTGGAGGTGAATATGCTTATAGGAATCCTTATTTTATTGTACATTGTATTAAGCAGTTGACCTAATATTCTGCAAAAGCCAGGACCGTGAGGGCTTCTTGCACCTGCCTAGAAGTGACACACATTTCCGTTGCATGTGCCATTCATGGTAAAGGATAGCTATCTTAACACAATTGCAAGATATTTGCCCCATCTATTTCAAAACACCCATGGAAATGAAGTTTAATAACAAGGGCAACAACACAAGTGCTTAAAACAGCCAATCAGATAACCGGACTGAAATAATGAACAGCGCTGATAGCACAATCCACAGAAAACTCTGTTGCAGTACCTTAATATGGTTCTTAATAATAATAAAAAATTGAAATATTAGGGAAGCAATCCTAAACCTATTTACTTGAGAATAGGCTGTATTTTAATATTCTGCTGGAAGCCGCGCAGAGTGGCTGGGGAAACCCAGCCAGATGGGCGGGGTATAAATAATAAATTATGATGATGATGATGATGATGATGATGATGATGATGATGAAATAGTCTTTTTTCAGGTTTCGGCACAGAAACTGCCCTGGTTGCCTCATTTGATGACCTCTATCAGGACAGAAACAGAGGCAATGTGTCCCTGTTAATTCTCCTGGATCTCTCAGCAGCTTTTGATACCATCAATCACAATGTCCTCCTGGAGAGGCAATCTGCCTTGGGGATGGGTGGCACTGCTTTGCAGTGGTTCTGGCCCTACTTGGATGGCCATCTTCAATGGGTGATGCTTGGGGAGTGTTATTTGGCACCAAGGCCTTCAGTGTGGGGATCTTCAGGGTTCAGTTTTATCTCCCATGTTGTTTAGTATATATATGAAGATGTTAAGTAGGGTTATCTGGAGTTTGGGGGTGTGTTGTAAGCAGTAAGGGTGATGCTCTGTGGCCGACTGCACTACCGGTGTTGGCTCCGACCCCCTTTTAAGCTTCTGGAGCAGAGTAGAGTGAAGCCTGCCCTCACGCGGTCCACTCTGGTTGCCCCGCCCCCCCAGGCCACCATGGATAGGCCAAAATGTGAATCTGGGTTTGGCAGGAACCCAGCAGGCACTGCAGTGGCCCAGGGAGCAGAGCAACGGCCAGCAAAACAGCATGGCTTCAGGAGGATGGGGAAGCCGCCCACCAGGAGACAAACGCCACCCACTGCCAGACCTAGTGGGCGGCTTGTGTGGAACCCAGAAATTCAAAGGTTAGGTGGATGACTTTGTGGAGCAGGGACTTCTCTATGGTAACACCCGCCTTGTGGGTGGGTTTGCCAGGCAAGTCTCGCTGAATCAGTTCATACACTTCAAATGCCTGCAGTTTATTTGCACAGGCTTTGAGGATTTGAATGCTTAGTGAGGGAGCCGTTCTTGCGAACAGATCTTTTACAACCTATAAGCCACCGTGAGAGTCTGCTGAGAGGTTTAATAGCAGGAGATTATATATATTAGGGTAAGACGTTTTATAGGGCTGAGGCTCCTGAAATGCCTTTGATTTTGCATATATATCTGCATGCCACACTGGGAAAGCACATTTGCATTAGCTGAAGGCTGATTTTTATGACTGCTATTTTTACAGCCTAGATTGTTTTAGGAAACCTCCCCTGTGTACTCTCCTTCCCGCTGCCTTTCCATTTAGCTACTGCCACATTGGCTGTGCTGTATTATAGCGTGTTTGAATTAAACCTGTACCAATGCAAACATCGAAGGGTCCATTTACCCACGCTCTGCCCAGCACATCTCCATGGAAAACCTGTATTGGTTTAAACAATATTAGGATTTTTTTTTTCATTAAAGAAAAACACAAGAGTCTACAGGGCATATCTGGCATACCTTACCTTTCAGCGGGGGTATGAAGAGAGGCAGACTAATGCCAGTGTACTGGAAGAAGCAAAGATCACCAGTACCAAAGCAATGATTCTTCAACATCAACTTCATTGAACTGGTCATGTTGTTCGATGCCTGATGATTGTCTTACAAAGCAACTACTCTATTCCGAACTTAAAAATGGGAAGCGTAATGCTGGTGGTCAACAAAAGAGGTTTAAAGACTGTCTCAAGCCAAATCTTTAAAAAGTAGTATAAACACCGGCAATTGGGAAACACTGGCCTGTGACCGCTCCAATTGGAGAACAGTCTTTACCAAGGTGTCGTGGGCTTTGAAGACGCTCAAACTCTGGACAAAAGGGAGAAACGTGTTAAGAGGAAGCACGCTTGGCAAACCCTCACCATGATCAACTCTCACCTGGAAACCTATGTCCCTACTGTGGAAGGATATGTGGATCAAGAATTGGCCTCCACAGTCACTTACAAACTCACTGTTATGACCATGTTTATGGAAGACAATCTTACTTGGCTATGAGTGATCGCCAAAGAAGAAGAAGAAGAAGATATTAGTGGAAAAGACAGTGAAAACATTTCTTTTGCTGTATTTGGCATTTCGCACACCAGCTCATGTTTTAATTTAGAATTACACATTTTATCACTTAAAGGGTAAAAAATGAAAAATAATGGAAATGCAGGGTTATATTTAAATAACAAAAAAGCAAGTCCTGAATCCATTACAAATAACGATGGGAAAGAAATTTGATTCAGTTCTCATTTCAAGGAGAACCTACCTTTGGCTGATTAATATTCTACAGCCTTTTAAATGTGTCTGTGGGAAAGGAAGGTTAATTTTGCTGTTTCGTTTTAATCATTTACTTGTTATTGTCTTGTATTTTATTCTGTGAATGGCACTGGGGCCTTATGATGAAGGGTAGTATATAAATCTAATAAATAAGAATATAATAATAATTTGTACGGTACTTTCCAAAACAATGCACACTCTGAAACACATTACCACATTTTGCAGTGCAGTTTTTCAGTGAAGAAATGTGCACACAAATGCATATACTGAGATAAAGTGTGCCTATAAATGAATATATTGGTGGAAATAACATTAAAATGCATTGCCTTTGAGGAAATTGCTTGCAAAAACATGTCCTTTCAGTGCCATCAAGAGTTTCACCATTTTAATTTCTGAATGTCAGGTTGCTGTTAAAGGTTCAGAAGTGGGACCAGTAGAAAAAGTAAGATTGCACAACAATAGACATTTTCTTGGGAACAAGTGGTACTTCAGAACCACAGGAACTTAGCACATCTTAATACCCTGGATTGGAGAGCCCTCGCCTCTCGGCCACTGAATGGGCGACCATGAGGAGAAGGATGAAGGCCCAGCCAAGGCCAAATTTCCCTCCCCACAGCTCTGGAAGGTGGCAGGAGCTCAACAGGGAGCCTTTCATGGGGGTGCCTGATTGCATCCCCCTCAGGATTTTGTGCCTGGGGCCACCACCACCCCACTCGCTATGCCACTGGAAGGTGGTCCTTATGGTATCCAGATCCCATTTGGGGTCTGATGTTTATCTCATTGCTGCCTTGGCAATGCATTCGGTTCATTTCTTTGTCACCCAACGTTATTTTCTGTTTTCATTTCTACAGAACATTTTCTCCAAGCAGTAGCAGTGGTATAGCTCCCTCCCTCCTCCACCATCACCAGCTATATGAATTGGGTGAGTCATCCATAAAGCTCTGTGAAAAATGAAGGGAAGGAGGGACGTGACACTGTGCTGAATAAAAATCCACACTCGTACTGAATGATATATGAAGGCTTTCTATCTGTCTGAGGAAAGATCATATTAAAACACCACAAAAATCTTCTGCTTCATCTTGGAACAGGTACAAAAGTGAGTGGGTGAAAGGAGGTGTTCTGCCTATAAGGTTTCAGTATCTTTTATTTCATTATTAGCCATTCAGACTTTCTTTTCCAGTGAGAATAGTACATGTCATAATGGATAATGTGCCTATTCTTTCACCTCCAAAAAAGCTGGAAAATAAAGTAGGGAGAGAGAAAACAAATATTGTTCCTCCTGATTTCAGCTGGGAAGGACAATCTCTTAACAATTACTCACGTGCCATCAAGCAAGTTAATTGCGTGTCGAGACCCTGCAGCCACCCCCTTGTTGGAAATAACTCACACAAGGACACAGATATTAGGTTTATGTTATTTGGCAAATGTTGGCCACAACTTTATTGAAATTACAGAATGTGAGCGGTATTGGCTTAGGCATTGATTGGACCTGACTATATCTGACTCCTGCCCATTGTGCAGGAAGTCCAGTAAGGGTAAGCCACCGGTAGGGGGAGCCCTGTCGATGCGAACCAACTCAAGCTCCCCTGGTGTTCCCATCGGGGTCATGTCAAGGCCCTAGCCCCCAGCTGGGCACCCCCGGATTCCTTTAACGGAATACCCTTAAGCATGGAGGGGCAGGTGATGGCCACACCTCCCCTGCCCCACACAAGGTCAAACAATGCCTAACCGCAACCCTAACAAAGTTGTGACGATTGCTACAAGGTAGGCGAAAACCAAGTGGCCAGTGCCAATTTGCCAAGTGGAAAAATTCCTACCAGGCCCCTCGGACAACCAAGGCGACCAACCGAAGTCCATAGCAAGGCCATTGCCTAACCTGCAAAATAGGGAGGGAGGATGGGTGATTGAGGAAGCGAATCAAAGAGCCTCTGGCTCGCTCCTCGGTTTAAATGGCTCCAGCCATGCCCCCCCTGGCCAGCGGATTGGCTGGCGGGCACTGATGTGGCCTGGATCCCCCAGGCAACAGGGGACAAAGTCCCCCGCCCCCGGTGGGCAGTGGGTGGCCACGCAGTCCACCGCAACTCCTCCCCACTGGGAAGTGGAGCGGATTTGCAAATGTTCAGGTTTCTTCAGTTCTTCAGCCCCAGGTCAGACATTTGCCCCAAGTTCCTCAATGCTATGAGGAGCCACTGCAGGAGTTCAGGCTCCAGTACATGGGGCAGGAGGACAATTAATCCATTGACTATGATGCTGCAGAGGAGGTGGGTCCAGGAGGCATTCCCTGCCTCTTCCCCCTCACATGATTGGAATCCTGAATGGGCAAATGCCTAAAACAAGCTATAAGATAAAGGTAAAGGGACCCCTGACCATTAGGTCCAGTCGTGACCGACTCTGGGGTTGCGGCGCTCATCTCGCTTTATTGGCTGAGGGAGCCGGCGTACAGCTTCCGGGTCATGTGGCCAGCATGACAAAGCCACTTCTGGCGAACCAGAGCAGCGCACGGAAATGCCGTTTACCTTCCCGCTGGAGCGGTACCTATTTATCTACTTGCACTTTGACGTGCTTTCGAACGGCTAGGTTGGCAGGAGCAGGGACCGAGCAACAGGAGCTCACCCCATTGTGGGGATTCAAACCGCCGACCTTCCGATCGGCAAGCCCTAGGCTCTGTGGTTTAACCCGCGTCCCCAAAACAAGCTATAGTCAACTCCAAATGGATATTCCATACCCAGACTGTGTTCCCTAGTAAACAACTAGTTTATTGTTATCTGAAGATCAGTGCCTCTAATTGATAGTTCCTACTTAAAGATTAGCGGGACACGGATGGCATTGTGTGTTAAACCACAGAGCCTAGGGCTTGCCAATCAGAAGGTTGACGGTTCAAATCCCTGCGAAGGGGTGAGCTCCCATTGTTCGGTCCCAACTCCTGCCAACCTAGCAGTTCGAATGCATGCCAGTGCAAGTAGATAAATAGGTACTGCCCCGGCAGGAAGTAAACGGCATTTCCATGCACTGCTCAGAAGCAGCTTAGTCATGCTGGCCACATGACCCGGAAGCTGTATGCTGGATCCCTAAATGCCGGCCAGTAAATCGAGATGAGCGCCACAACCCCAGAGTCGCCCGCGACTGGACCTAATGGTCAGGGGTTCCTTTACCTTTTTACTTAAAGATTGGAAGCTTTTCTTTTTCTCATTCTTGACAAGCAAGTGTGGGATAAAACACCTTGAGGGAACGGCATCTTCCATTCCACTAGGGAGAATAAATTTGAAAGAAGGCATCTAGTTTCACAAACTGATTATTAGTTTGGGTGGAAGAAATAGTTCTCTGTGATGCATTGCCACAAAGTTAGGAATGTAGTGACAAGCTGTATGCCTTTTCATTAGCTACCATAAGATCAGATCGACCGGCAAAGAGTTCTTAGATTAGCATTTCCAATTTTGAGTCATTTATCCTGTGTGGGGCTGCACTTGATAACAGGTCAGAAGTTTCAACCAGTGCAGAATACCATCTACACTGCCCCCATCCATGGATGCACTAATGGGAGACAATGATATAAGTCAAGGTGTTAGTTTTAATTCATAAATCTGTTAAATGTTTCATCCCAACACAATTCAGTTTTGGCGTGCTGGCATTTAGCAATTTAGCAATGCTGGAGAATTCTGACAACAACAGATAGGGAAGCAGAAATCAACCCATGTCCAGAAAGGAAATCAATTCAACGGATACAATCGGCACTTGCTGTTGTTGCTGCTTTTGGTTCCCAAATGAGACGTAATTGATTACTTTTTATCCCATTTGCATTGTGTTTCCTTGGCAATTGAATGAATGGAGTGGAATAACCTAATGCCAATGTAATTCACATAATTAATCTAAGGAAGGTAATTTTGCTACTGTGGACAGTAAGACAAATAGTGTAGCTTTCTGCAGTAGAACAGAAACAGTGCTGCAAGTGATGAACGCAGAGTGGAACAGAAAACGATGTCTTCCTACATCCCAAGTTGCATTTCAATCAATCAGGCTTACTTCCAAGTTGTTGGAATTGGGCTGTCAGTGAATGAATTATTTATATTTTGCAATATTCGTGATGAGTATCACGAATATTTTTGCAATATTTGTGATACTCACCCTGTCCTATGAACATCTGGTGATATGCCATCCCTTCCCCTTAATAAAAGCCCATGTTGCCTGCTTGCCTGCTTGCCTGCCTGCCTGCCTGCCTGCCTGCCTGCTTGCTTGCTTGCTTGCTTGCTTGCTTTGCTTTCAACATGTGTTGTGTTCGGATCATAAGTTGTATCTTTCTGAGACCATAATGATTCCTTTTCTGAGCGGAAGACAATTGTCAGGGCAAAACACTTGAGGCACTGAGGACTGCAGAAAGAAGCTGTAGAAAATGCAAGGAGAAAATTGATGCAGCTAATCTTTCAAGGAGAATCACACCATAGCTGGCCACAATATTGGCTGAGCACAACTAGGACAGGGTGTGTCCCTGGGAAAGCAGGAACTTTTTTTCCCTTTTGAGGAAATTCTTGCACGTGCTACAGGGAGCCTAGATGGGGTGCTGCTGAGTTCATGATGGGAGCTCAGTTGTTCCCATTAGCTACGCAGATGGGTGGCAACCAGCCTTGGCTGATTTTCTCTTTGCACAGGCAAGACCGCTGAACCTTCCTTGGCTACAGATATGCCTCCAGTTTCACAAATAAATGTGGACTGGAGCAGCCCCATAGCTCACTGGCCCATGCTTTGCACACAGAAAGTATCAGATTCAATCCCTGGCAACCCCAGCTGTTGTGGTTTTAAATAAAAGATAGCAGGGGGTAAGAAAGAGCAATGTTGGAAAGATGGTTTTGATCAGATGAAAGAATACTGTGAAAATATGGGACAGATTTCAATGATCATATGACTGCACACATGTACACACAGAGAGCTGCCTGGAAGTGATTTCTGCAATCCCAACAGCAGTTCTTCTAGGTGGCAGAATCACGGCAATCCTTGTGTGTTTGCTCATGTGAACAGGGGGACGAACGGGGTGAGCATCACCAAGCCCCAAAATAAGTGGCGTGCAGACATACCCATGGATGTGAATCAAATAACAACATGGACAAGGAACGTAGCCTAGCTAAAAATACCCTGTCTAGATGACTTGAGCCAAACTGCCGGGACACACCATATTACCTAGAAATAAAACTGAATATCATACATGCTCAAACCCTTTTTTGGGAATTGCAAGTCTTATAATGCCAGGCAAAAAGGGTTTGGATCGATTCTTAAGCCAACACCAGCTTTTGCTCCTGTGTACTTTGGCAGCCCATTCCAAGCTGGAAACTACAAAACCATAAAAGCAGAAGACAAAACACAGTTTGCCTCCTTGCATAAAACCAGCAGGGATAGGAAAAGCTACTCAAAATACATGTGAGGAAAAATCTTGGAGAAGGATTCTGAATCCATAGTAGGGAAGATATTCCACCGCCTTTCCTGTAAAGAATTCAAGGAATATCTGCTGAATGCTTCAAGATGTGAGAGGTGCTTTCTTGAGGGTCAGTATCCCTGGTTGCCCTTTGCTCAGGCCACACCTCTGAGCAGCCAAGAGTTCAAAGACTGGAAGGGCTATTTTAAATGTTGCCAGTCAAAGAGCTCAGAGTCATGACTGCAAGCTCTCTTGCTACCTCTATTAGTAAAATGATCCAAGTGGGAGATGTGCGAGAACAGAAGTAGGTCCAGGCCAGGGTGGGAAGGTAGAGAAACCCAAGAGACACATTATTCCAGGGTGCAGGGAGGAAGCCCCAAGCTCCAAGCATAACAGAACCAAGGGTTGTGCACATGCATTTGACTTCATGCAGACAGCAAAGAGTGAAGTCCAATGCATGCAGAAAAGGTCTTGGGGTGAGCACTTCTTTAATTGCTAGAGAGAACATCCCAAACATCAGAG